AAAGAGTGATTAACACATGGAATTCACTGCCACAGGAGGTGGTGGTGGCTACAAGCATGGATGGCTTCAAGAGGGAACTGGATAAACATATGGAGCAGAAGTCCATCAGTGGCTCTTAGACACAAGGTATAGATAGGAACTCTTGGTCTGGGGAAGTGATACTCTATATTCTTGGTGTTTGGGGGGGGCAACAGTGGGAGGGCTTCTAGTGTCCTGACCCCACTGCTGGACCTCCTGATCGCCCCTTGTCTTTTTGGCTACTGTGTGACAGTGTTGGACTGGAGGGGCCATTGACCTGATCCAACATTGGCTTCTCTTATGTTCTCATGCCTGTTGGCAAAGCCTAGTTATGACAATGAAATGAAATCTCCCGGGTCCCAAAACCGGAAAGCAAAAAGGGGAAGGCTTCTGGCACCAGGCCCAGCCAGTGTGGCATAGTGGTCAGAGTGTCCAGCTAGGTTCTATGAGACGCAGGTTCGAATCACCGCTCTGTCATGAAAGTTGACCGGGTGACCTTGGGCCAGTCACCCCCTGTTAGGAAGCAGTATGTGTTTTTGTTTTCAGATGATTAATTTGAGAGACTCTAAGTTGCTTCAGCTGGAGCCCTGTGAACTGTTTCAGTTGAAGACCTTGGGGTTTTTTTTTTGTTTAAGAGCTCTACACCTGCAAGTAATAATTAGCTATTTGGTCTTGATTGGCTGGCAGGTTGCACAGTTCCGCAGGGCCTGCAAGACGGAGCTCTTCCGCCAGGCTTTCGAGTAGGAGCCGCCGCCACCACCAACGAAGTTGGAAACAGCGGGGTATTGGAATGGCCCGTGACAAAGAAACTGCGGCATTATGGCGCGCGGACAGCACTGAGTTCAAGATCTAAGTATCCTCCGATACCATCTCTAAATAGAAGATCATCATTTGTAACCATCTTGAAGCACTTTAATTTGTATATATTGTAATTGTGTGTTTTTATCTTGTTTTATATCGGCATGCATGCCTCGTTGTTAGCCGCCCTGAGCCCGCTTGGCGGGGAGGGCGGCCTATCAATTGAATGATAAATAAAGAAATCATACTGCTTTTCTTTAGAACGAACTCACTCACCGTCCTGATCATGTGGGTCTGAGAGCTTGAAACCTTGTTGACGCTGGCACATTTGCTTTTTCACTGTCACCATGCAGTGATTTGTTATTTTTCTTTGAATCATCTCCATAAACTTTGTCGGGCTTCCCAAAAGCCAAAGTGCGGAGCAGCGTTGTTAGTGGGTGGGTGACTCCCTCCCCTTTCCCAGGGCCGAACCGGAGACTGAAGAGGTGAGCCGTTCAACAGCAGAGTACGTTGAGTCCTGCCAAAGTAAATAAGCTGCTCCTTGCCAACCCGAGGCCTGGAGCCTCTGCAGACTGGCGGCCCCTCGGGTGTCGACCAGAGTGACAGGAGAACCAAGAGAGAAGCTCCTGGCTCACACACCCCCTCTCAGCCTAACCTGCCTCACAGGGTCGCTGTGAGGATAAAACGGAGAAGGATGTGAGTTGTTTTGAGTCCCCAGGGAGGAGAAGGTGGGGTATAAATGAATTGAATAAATGAATAAATCATCGGCCCGTGCTTGGGGATGAAGTCCAAGGCAGCCCCAACTCAACACAGTCACATGCAGGTGCCTGGATTCACACAGTTACACGCATTTGTCTTCGCCTGAGTCAGACCGTTTCCCTGCTGAGCTTTGTCTTGTTGGCTCTGACCAGCAGTGGCTCTCCAGGTTTTGATGCCGATATCTTTTGCGTCACCTACTAGAGCATAAGAGAAGCCATGTTGGATCAGGCCAATGGCCCCTCCAGTCTAACAGTCTGTGTCACACAGTCGCCAAAACCCAGGTGCCATCAGGAGGTCCACCAGCGGGGCGGGAACTCCAGGAGCCCTCCCACTTTGGCCCCCCAAGAACCAAGAAGACAGAGCATTACTGCCCCAGACAGAGTGTTCCATCTCTACCTTGTGGCTAAGAGCCACTGATGGACCTCTGGTCCGTATCTTTGTCCAATCCCCTCTTGAAGCTGTCTACACTTGTAGCTGCCACCACTTCCTGCAGCAGTGAATCCCACGTGTTCATTACTCTTTGGTTGAAGAAGTACTTCCTTTGATCTGTTCTAGACGCCGGGGATTGAACCAGGGACCTTCTGCATGCAAAGCAGAAGCCCTTCCCCTGGGCTCTACCACTATTTCCTTATACAGCGTGGGCAAAGGGTTGTGGTTTGTTTGTTTTTTGCAAGATGGAGGGTGGGAGTAAGCTGAGGACAGCCTTTGCCCTTTCTGTCTCAGTTCATTTGGTTAAAGGTTGGGTGTGGCCAGAGGCACCGGGCAAAGAGTTTAGCAATGTGGTTCACAGCCTGTGACTTCAATGATAGCAGCCAACAAATTCAGCACCACCCTGAAGTCTACTTGACATGGGGGGGGGTGTAGATTGTTTGATTGATGTGCCCTTGTTTATGTGTTTTACTTGTAGGCCACTTTGGAAGAAGAAGAAGAGATTGGATTTATATCCCACCCTTTGATACCCAAAGGCGTCTCAGAGCGGCTTACAAACTCCTTTCCCTGCCCCTCCCCACAACAGGCACCCTGTGAGGTAAAAGAAGAAGAAGAAGAGATTGGATTTATACCCCGCCCTTCACTACCCAAAGGAGTCTCAGAGCGGCTTACAAACTCCTTTCCCTTCCCCTCCCCACAACAGGCACCCTGTGAGGTAAAAGAAGAAGAGGAGATTGGATTTATACCCCGCCTCTCACTACCCAAAGGAGTCTCAGAGCAGCTTACAAACTCCTTTCCCTTCCCCTCCCCACAACAGGCACCCTGTGAGGTAAAAGAAGAAGAGATTGGATTTATACCCTGCCCTTCACTACCCAAAGGTATATCAGAGCGGCTTACAAATTCCTTTCCCTTCCCCTCCCCACAACAGACACCGTGAGAGGTAGGTGGGGCTGAGAGAGCTCTGACAGAAACTGCTCTTTTTTAAGAACAGCTGTGCCAGAACTATGGCTTGGCCAAGGTCATCCAACAGGTGCAAGTGAAGAAGTGGGGAATCAAACCCGGTTCTCCCAGATTAGAGTCCGCACACTTAACCACTACACCAAAAAGCTCTTACCAAGTGAAGACTAGAACAGAATTCGGACTTAGACACTTTCAAACATTTAACAGTTACAGCTTTACAGGGTGACCCTGCCAATAATGTACATTCTCGGTTACACAACATTTTAATAGCATGCAACAGGGAAGTCAAAAATAAATTAGGTCATGATAACATTTATTTTTTTGGAAGGATATCATTTTTAGTTAGGAGGCTGTCGGGAACCAAAGATCACTAAACTTTTTCTGACTATGTTCCGTTTGGGCATTAGATCTAAAAGCATGAAGTTTACCCAGGAGAAAATAACTCCATAGTCAAGTTCTCCAGGCTTGTATGGAAAGCACTGAGTTGTTTTCCCAGTGTGCAGCTAATGCCAGTCTGGCTGTTGCTAATAATAATGCAATTCTTTCTGCATTTGCTTCATGTTTTGAGGCACACAGGCCACAGGACCCGTAAAGGATGACGCCAACACCACAGTTCAAATGAAACAATTTTCTTCCCTTTTCTGCGTCCTTCATTGCTCCAACTTTCATGGCAGTGGGGAATACTGTGGTATGGATCGTCTCGATCTTGTTCGCCAACCCAAAAATCCTTACACTTGATGAATCTTTCCTAGAGTAAAATCCATGCATCAATACATCTGCCTGTTCTCCAAAGAGCGACTGGAGGGGGCTCACTGCTGAGAAACAGAGCCTAGAGGGCAAGGGGCGCCCCCCAGCGTGAGTCACCAGGAGGGCTACCAGAGGATGTAGTGATGGCCACAGGAATGCTTTAAGAGGGGATTAGATAGATTCATGGAGGATAATCTATCAGTGGCTACTAGCCCTGGTGGCTGAGGGGAACTCCACATTCAGAGACAGAAAAAACCTCTGAAGCCCAGGCCAGGAGGCAACATCAGGGGAAGGCCTTGGCCTCTCTGCCCTGTCGTTGGCCCTCCAGAGGACCTGGTTGGCCCCTGCATGAGACAGGATGCTGGACTGGATGGACCCCTGGTCTGATCCAGCAGGGCTCTTCTGGTGTTCCAATGAAGGCCTCGGCTTCTATGCCCTGCTGTTGTCCCTGCAGAGGAACTGGTTGGCCCCTGCGTGAGACAGGATGCTGGACTAGATGGACCACTGGTCTGATCCAGCAGGGTTCTTCTTAGGTTCTTATGAAGGCCTCGGCCTCTATGCCCTGTTGTTGTCCCTCCAGAGGAACTGGTTGGCCACTGCGTGAGACAGGAGGCTGGACTGGATGGACCACTGGTCTGACCCAGCAGGGCTCTTCTGATGTTCTAATGAAGGCCTCGGCCTCTCTGCCCTGCTGTTGGCCCTCCAGAGGAACTGACTGGCCACTGTGTGAGACAGGAGGCTGGACTAGGTGGAACCTCACTGGTCTGATCCAGCAGGGCTCTTCTGGTGTTCCAATGAAGGCCTCGGCTTCTATGCCCTGTTGCTGGCCCTCCAGAGGAACTGGTTGGCCCCTGTCGCCTCCCCATGCTGGACTAGATGGATGGACCACTGGTCTGATCCAGCAGGGCTCTTCTTGTGTTTTCCCGCCCCCAGCCACTAGCAGGGGATGAGGGTTGGGGTTGCCAGAACCATTTTGGGACGCTCCTGGAGACTTGGGGGTGGAGCCTGGGGAAGACAGGGACCTCCGTGGGGTCCAATGCCGTAGAGAGCCCACCTTCCAAAGCAGCCAGTCTCCAGGGGAGCGGATCTCTCTCTGTCGCCTGGAGATGAGCTGTAATTCTGGGGGGATCCCCCGGTCCCACCTGGAGGAGGCTGGCATCCGCCCCCCCCGCGCCCCCCGGCGACTGCAAGCCCGAACGTCCGATGGGGGCGAAGCCAGCCCGGCTCTGGGCGCCGGAGAGAGCAGACAGGCCGGAGCGCAAACTCCTCCCCGCCCGGGGCGGGTCAGGCCCGGGGAGAAGGGCTGGGCGGCCGCCGCCGGGTGCTGATAAAGCGGCCCGCGAGGGCTCCGGGCTGCTGCTGCTGCTGCTCCTTCCCGCTGCTCCCGGGCCGGCCATGGCGATCTGCGTGCTGGTCTGGGCGTCCGTGGTGGGCTTCCTGCTCTTCCTGCTCGTCCGATTCGCGCGGTACTCCGACGGCGACTTCACCCTGCAGTGGCTGGAATGGCGCGGCAAGAAGCCCGGTGAGCGAGTGTGAGCCAGGGCGCGCCCCCGGCCCTCGCGTGCGCAACGTGGCAGCGCCGGCGGCAAGGGGCGGCCCCGCGGTAACGCCGGGGAGGTAGCCAAGCAGAGCACTTCGGCGGCCAAGCGGATGGGGGGGACGACTCTGACCTCTCCTTTGCAAGATCCCAAGCCTAGGTAAAGGTAAAAGTAAAGGTTCCCTTGCTCGAAAGCCAGTGGAGTCCGACTCTAGGGTTGCGGTGCTCATCTCCGTTTCTGAGCCGAAGAGCCAGCGCTGTCCGAAGACGCTTCCGTGGTCATGTGGCCGGCATGACTAAACACCAAGGCGCACGGAACGCTGTTCCCTTCCCACCGAAGTGGTACCTATTTATCTACTTGCAAGTTCTTGCTTTCGAACTGCCAGGTTGGCAGGAGCTGGAACTAGAGGTGGGAGCTCACTCCTAGAGTGCCTTGCAAATCGGAGTTAGAAGTAGGGAAGCCCAGCAGGGTTGCCACAGGTCCCCCCTGACCATCGGCAGGGGAATTGGTGGTGGGGGTAAGGTTGCCGGATCCAGGCTGGGAAACTCCTGAAGGGTGGACCCTGGGGAGAACAGGGACCACCTCAGTGAAGTACAATGCCATAGAGTCCACCCCCCCAAAAGCATCCATTTTCCCCATGGGAGGGAAGTTATCTCTGTAATCTGGAGATGAGCAGTAATTCCGGCCGATCCCCAGGTCCCACCTGGAGGCTGGCATCCCTAAAACCCAGCCTTTTAGGATGTGTGTGGGTCTCTTTAGGGTGAGTGGGGGTCTTGCAAAGGGACTGGGCGTTGGCTTCCCCCCCCCACGCACCATTAACCCACTAATGGGGGGGGACCCTTCTCCTTGATTCAGTGGGTCAGAAATCAGCATGAAGGGGTGTGTGTGTCTCTTTGCAATTACAAGCCCTAACAGGTGGACTGGGCATTCCAGCAATTGCAAACACATCCTTTTACCAGTTTTTAAAATCGTACTGGCCAATGCAGTTAAAACTGGAAGTAACTAACAAGGGAAGCTGGGCTTATCCCTTGCTAGATAATAAATAACTATAAAGTGCTATGTGGGTTTTTTTTAAAAAAAAAAATTGCTGACAAAGGGGGGGGGAAAAATCAAAGTAGGCAGCCCTATTAGACTAAAGGAACAGAATAAATTTAGAGTCAGACTGACAAAGTTTTATTCAGGGTGTGAGCTTTCGTGTGCACGCACTCTTCGTCAGACATTAAAATAGAATTACAGATTGCACTTGTATGTATGCTTGTTTTTTTTTTTTTTAATTTATTTTTTCAATTTTTAACAATTCTAACACTTCAAACAGTGAACAATTAATTTTCCAATTACATTCACATCCTGTAAATAGTTCCTGCGTATGTACAACGTTATAACATGTTCAAAGAATTACAATACATTACTCAACACACTTCCGAATATGATTTCAGTAGAAAGATAACAGACTTAGCGTAAACTTGATAGGAACATTAGGAAGCATCCCGAACTATTGGAGCGGTAAGAAAGAGAAGAAAGAAAAGGAAATATTAGAGCTAGTGGAGATGATATAAGTAAGTAAGTATGAGAATTTGCGGAACTGGACATTGCATTAATCTTATATCCATTTGTGATATTGAGACCAATCAGATGAGATAAATTGTTTTTGTGACAGATAATCTAGCACTGGGTACCATTTCTCTATGAAATTAGACTTTATTGGGTTTTGTGACATGCAATTTAGTTTGTTGGAGACTGCATCCATTAAGTAATGAGTCCAAAGTTTCTTATACCATATTTCTACTGAGGGTGCCTCTTTCTCCTTCCAGTACAATGCTATTGCTGTTTTGGCTGCATCTAGAAGGACTTCTATTGTGCATCTATGTACCCTTGAATTTAAATTTTTCAGGCCAGATATTCAAAAACAAAATTTCCGGTTTTAGTGGAATTTGGACTGAGGTGATGGCTTGTTGAAATAGCCTGCAAGATAGTGAGGTGTTCTTTAGCAGACAAAAAGAATGATAAGAAGGAAATGCCTGCAAGCACGTGTTAGAAGCTTCCCGAGGGCTTATGAAAGCCAAAATGTTTGCAGGCCCGTGTTTGTCGTGCTCGGCCTTTCATGGGAAGCTGTAGTGCCTCTAAAGTCAAATACAGAGGAAGAACCAGCATTGTATTCAACCTTGCTTGAAACTATGGTAGAGTGCTAAGGTCCCCAACATTTTTCAACGGGATGGTGGGAGCAGCCACAAAAATGGCTGCTGGAGGCAGGGCCAGCAACAAAAATGGCTGCCGCAAGAGGCGGGGCCAGCCGCAAAGTATCAGGGAGTGAGGTTATGTGTAACTCTGGTAGTAGGTCTTCGGCATTTTAGGCAGAAGCTTTGCTTAAGAGAAAGCCTCTTTAAAAACTGACATAGTGGTGAAAAATATTTTCTTGCATGCGTACAGAATGAGTATGCATCTTGAGCTAGATGCCCTGTCTCTGGTCGACACCAGAGGGGCCCCCAGGTGGTGGGAGAACCAGCAGACGGCTGCCTGATGACCGTAGTTGGCGCACAGGGACATACGGGAGGAGAGGGTCCCACTTTTTATATCCCGCTTCTCTCCAGTTTGGTGCCGTGGTTAAGTGCGCGGACTCTAATCTGGGAGAACTGGGTTTGATTCCCCAGACCTCCACTTGCACCTAGCTGGATGACCTTGGGCAAGCCGTAGTTCTGATAAGAGCTGTCCTTGAAAAAGAGCAGTTTCTGTCAGAGCTCTCTCAGCCCTGCCTCCCTCACAGGATGTCTGTTGTGGGGAGGGGAAGGGAAAGGAGTTTGTCAGCCGCTCTGAGACTCCTTCAGGTAGTGAAGGGTGGGGTATAAATCCAATCTCTTCTTCTTCTTTTACCTCACAGGGGGTCTGTTCTGGGGAGGGGAAGGGAAGGGAGTTTGTAAGCCGCTCTGAGATTCCTTTGGGTAGTGAAGGGCGGGGTATAAATCCAATCTCTTCTTCTTCTTCTTTTACCTCACAGGGTGCCTGTTGTGGGTAGGGGAAGGGAAGAGAGTTTGTAAGCCACTCTGAGACTCCTTTGGGTAGTGAAGGGCGGGGTATAAATCCAATCTCTTCTTCTTCTTCTTGACAAGCTGGCATAAGGTGGGAATCAAACCCGGTTCTCCCAGATTAGAGTCCGTGCACTTAACCACTACACCAAACTGGCTCTCTGGCTACACCAACTGGCTCAAGTCTGTTGTACACAGGGCCGGCTCACCAGCTAGGCGTTTGCCTAGAGTGCAGGCTGGCCCTTAGGGCGCCAAACTGGACCCGCCCCCCCTCCGCATCCTCCCCGCCACCGGAACTGCCACCGCCTGCTGTCCACACCCTTTCACAAGCCCGGGCCGAGAGGCCGGCCTTGCAGCGCCTCACGAAGACCTCCAAGAGCCAGAGGAGCTACTGTTTCCCAGGAGTGGCGGCGGGAGAACCAGCGGCGGCAGGCGGTGACCAGGGGAGGACCTGCAGCTGCTGGCCTGCGGGGAACACACGGGAGGCCTGCAAAAGGGGGGGCCTCTCTGGAAGAGCTTTCCTGGCGACTGCGCAGGCCTGCTGGGACACCTGGGGTGGGCGACTTTCTGGGTGGGCGGAAGCGGACTCCCCCTCAGGCGCCGGCCTGGCCTCCGGAAGGGGCTCGCGGTGCCCGGTGTGTTCCCCAATGTGTTCCCCGCACATGACGGGCTGGCTGCTGGGCGGAGTGCTCGCTTGCTACACCTCTGGCTGAGGGGCCCCGCCGACCTCCGGCGCCCCCGCCCCGCACAGCCCCTGCAGCAGCGCCCTCCGGGTGAGTTGGGGTTGATGAGGGGCCTCTACTCCGCACCCAGGGCTCAGCCCAGCTGCCTGCAGGAAGGTCCCCAGGTGGGCGGCAACCCCTCAGCATTGTCTCCCGTCCTGCGCAAGGTGGAGATCTGCAGGGCCGCTGTGTGTGTGTGTGTGTGTGTGTGTGAGTTACCAGCCCTCTCCTTCCCGAAAAAGCGCCTCTGGGCACTGGCCTGCGGGAAGCGCCTGGGCAGGCCGGGAGAGGGGAGAGGCGCTTTGGGGCCACCACCCCTCGGGGCACCCCTTCCCAGCGGCTGGCGGCGGTACCGCTATGGCAATTCTAGGCACAACTCAAAGGAGGTACATTCCTTTAAAAACCTTGTTACATACCACTTGTAGTCATGGCCACTGTTCCCTCTAGTCTATGGAGTCTTGTGAGCAAAAATTCTACTTTGTAAGCTATTGGCATTACAGTTGTCTTCCTTGTCTCCAGGCCCCGCCTAGAGGTTGGCAACCGCATAACTGGGTATGCGGGGGGGGTGGTGCCAGAAGGTAGCCCCACCTACGGCGCAAAAAAACCTCGGGCTGGCCCTGGTTGTACACACAGTTTATGAAACATTTCATACTCTGCCACTGACTAACAGACTAGCTTGGTGGTTACACTTAGCACTCTCAGAATAATACATGGGCGGCTAAGTGCCATTTATGATTTTAACCATACAACCAGGAATCAGCTATAAACATATGTGTGTATTCAGATATTGACTTTGGTTCAGTAATGGCCACTGCTTAGAAATGCATGCTGGGGGAAGGAAAAGCTGTTGATGTCCTGTTATTTTGCTGAAGCCTAGCCCACGGACAGGCCTCATGGCCTTGCATTTTGTTAGAAGTCCAACACAACATATTTCTGATATTAGCCAGCTTAGCTAAAATGGTGAACAAAAGACACCCTGTCTTATAACAAGTCAAATAGATACTTTTAGAACTTCACAGTCTGGGAGAGAGAAGCGCCCATTGTGTAGTAAAAGGTAGAATGAACTGTACTTGGGAAAGCCCGGCCCAAAAGGTTTTCCACCAATCAGAGACCTGTTAGGTCAGAGTGCTGATGTTTGATGGAACCAACAGCAATGTTTTCTTTGCTTATGTCATCCTGAGTATAAAATCCTATGTCACCCATTGTAACACACGAAGAGTCTGTTGGGTATTCAGGGGTTCCAAAACCTTGAGATCTGTACTCTTCAGAGGTCATTTCGGGGGGGATCGCAGTTCCCCCGGGTGAGGTGCAGGGGGCGGGGCACACAATGAAGCTCCGCCCCCTGCTTCCGGCCGCCCCACTTCCGGCCCTCATTCAGCCAGGAGGAGGCAGAAGAGGGAGGGTAAGTTGCTTCCTCCCCGCCTCTCCCCCCCCCTGCCTGCCTGGGGCCAGGGAGGGCCTTGGCGGGGCTTCCTCGCACTCCCGCCAGCCTTGCAGGTCCACCGCCGGGCCTTATGATGTCAGGGGGTGTGGCATATGCTAATGAGTTATGCTAATGAGTTCCCCTAGCTCTTTTTCTACGAAAGGACCCCTGGTACTCTTCCTTTATTAATTAATAAATATTTTAGTGTTTTCCTCTCTACAGAACTGCTGAGTGTGTTTCTCAAACTGGGCTGGGAAAAACACTGGCGGGGACACAGGTTGTGTGTCTATCAAGGCCACCAGGTGCTTTTAATGAATGCTTTTAATGAATGCTCAGCCCAAAGAGGCTGCAGCTAACCTGTGGAAACTTACAGCTTGAGCACACATCTCGAGAATCAGTGTTCCCTCTAAACTGAGTTGGTGTGAGCTAGCTCACAGTTTTTTAGCCTCTGGCTCGCACTTTTTTGTCTTAGTTCAGGAAGGATGGGGCTCCAGAGCAAATGAATTTATGCAGTAACCAAATTGCTCACTCACAACTTTCATGCCAGTAGCTCACAAAGGAGAATTTTTGCTCACAAGGCTCCACAGTTTAGCGGGAGCACTGCTCGAGATCTGTATGTTCTGATCCTTACACCGTGCCACCAACCACTGCCCACTTCCACACGTCAAGCCTTTATTGAAGGGACTGGATAGCCGCCCAAGTCGCCCAGCCTAGCCGGAGCTTGTTAGAACTGAGAAGCGAAGCAGGTTCAGCCCTGGCCAATATTTGGATGGGAGACCACCAAGGAAGTCCAGGGTTGCTACGCAGAGGCAGGCAATGGCAAACTACCTCTGCTCATCCCTTGCCTGGAAAGATGGCATTAAATTCTTCTTCTTCTTGAACGGACTGGACCTTCTTTCTCTGTTTGTTTGGCAAACCTAGTGATTCGTAGTCATGGCACCCCGATCCTTTTTTATTTAAAAATGGATATGACAGACAGGGCATCTGAGTGAGCCCCCCGCCCCCCAGTCCTTCAGCCGTGAATTGATTGAATTCAGTAATGTACCCCGAGGTCCCTCCTCTGGTCAGTTGTGAACCTGTTGCTGGTCGGTTTTACCAGTGACCCCAAATTCTAGTATGCTGGGACCTTTCTCAGCCATCAGAGGGGTTTTCAAACTGACTCTATTGCAGTTGGGCGTGGGAGGCTCAAGTTCCAAAGCTAGGAAAGGAGATTCTGGGTAGACAGAGAAGAGGTGGTCGGCCTGTTGGGGCCTCCTCCTCTGCCTTGCATCCTCAGTAGGAGGCAGGGGTGGGAGGCTTACTGGAACAGCATCCTGTGGCAGCATTTCCAGCTGCGTGGCGTTGCCACATTGCGGGACTGTGACGTCCTCCTTATTGGGGAGGACTGGTTTCACTTTAAAAGTGTTCTTTATTTTGTTCTACTAGGGTATATCCTGCTGCCACCAGGAAATTTAAGGCTTTCCAAACCTTTATACTTTACTTCTGCTCTTACTGGTCAGGTAGACCGAGGTCGAGGCTTAAGAGGAACTTTGTGGTTCTGAGGAAGTATTTCTTTCAGAGCTGGTATATTTGAATAAAAGAGGATTTATTGAAATAATTCATAAATAAAAGGGTGGGACAAGGTATCTAGTAATGTGTAATAAATGAACAATTGCTTGGTGTATCACACACAATATGCTCCCTTACTGACAGGCAGGGGTTGTTTCATAGAAAAAGAGCTAGGCCGCTCTCACTGTCGGGAAGTTATTCCTAATGTTTAGCCAAAAACTGCTTTGATTTAATTTCAACCCGTTGGTTCTGGTCCGACCTTCTGGGGCAACAGAAAACAACTCTGCCCCGTCCTCTATAGGACAGCCCTTCAAGGACTTGAAGATGGTGATCATATCACCTCTCAGTCGTCTCCTCTCCAGGCTCAACATACCCAGCTCCTTCAACCTTTCCTCATAGCACTTAGTCTCCAGACCCTTCACCATCTTTGTTGCCCTCCTCTGGACACGTTCCAGCTTGTCTATACCCTTCTTAAATTGTGGTGCCCAAAACTGAACACAATTCAACCTCCCAGAGTGGTTGTGAGGACGAAAAGCAGGAGAGGAAAGCGACATAAGCCGCTTTGGGTCCCCACTGGGGTCAAAAGCGGGGTTAAAAAAAAAAGGTAAAGGTTCCCTTGCGTGAAAGCCAGTCGAATCCGACTCTAGGGTTGCGGTGCTCATCACCGCTTCAAAGCCAAAGAGCCAGCGCTGTCTGAAGACATTTCCGTGGTCATGTGGCCGGCATGACTAAACACCAAGGTGCACAGAACGCTGTTACCTTCCCACTGAAGTGGTACCTATTTATCTGAAGGAATTACACGAGACAGCTCTCTTGAGGGTAGAGAAATCTGTCTGCCTTTCAAGGCAGCAATAGTTTATTTTATACACACTCTGCCCCCCACCCACCCACCGTGAGGTGAGGCTGGGGCTTGCACGTACAGAAACGGGAAAACAGATACTTTAGGCAAAGATGTCTTAAGGATGCTTACATAGTATAATAATTAACGAGCTACTCTCAGCTTTAAAATGCCCACCGGTACAGGATGTGCAAAGGTCAGGACTCTTACTGGATCAGAGTCACTGATCAATCCAGATGTTTACAGAGTCTGGAAATATGGGCCCGAACCAGGACAGGTGTGCCTTATCGCTGATCCTTGCCCACATTTATCTACTTGCAATTTCTTGCTTTCGAACTGCTAGGTTGGCAGGAGCTGGAACTAGAGACGGGCGCTCACTCCATCATGTGGCAAACTCGGGTCTCGAACTGCTGAACTACCCACCTTCCACAGCCTACAGATTAATTAATTAATTAAATATCTTTGCCAATGGTTATCTTGATACTTATTTACCTCCTTTTTTGCCCTCTCTCTCTCTGGACAGAAGAGGAACTTTTCGGGAAAGTGGTCTGGATAACGGGAGCCTCCAGCGGGATTGGCGAGGAGATGGCCTACCAGCTAGCGAAGATCGGCTCACGACTCGCACTCTCGGCCAGACGGGAGAATGAACTGGAGAGGGTGAAAAAGAAGTGCCTGGGTAAGAGGCGTTTATTTGATAATAATGTGTATCTGGAATTTTATTTTCAGCAAATTGGGTGCCGATTGTAAGAAGCATGAAACAGCAGCAGAATCCTTTGTGTGCCCTTATCGGCAAAGGATGAGATGGTTAGACAGTGTCATCGATGCAACGAACATGAAATTGAGCCAACTTCAGAGGACGGCGGAAGACAGGAGGGCCTGGCGGGAGATGATCCATGGGGTCGCGAAGAGTCGGACTCGACTGTGCGACTGAACAACAACAAATCGGCATGTACCGGAAGTCATCCTCATTTCAGCTAGGTTTCAGTTTTGCAAAGGTAAAATACCAAGGACATTTATTAAACCTGGTAATAGCTGGGGAGGAGGGCAGAATATTGCCCCACCTGTCAAGCAACTCAATCTTCTTGCCTGGGGCAGGATGGGTAACTCTGGGTAGTGGCCGTGGCTCAGTGGCAGAGCATCTGCTTGGCATGTAGAAGGTCCCAGGTTCAATCTCTGGCATCTCTGCTTAAAAGCATCAGGTAGTGGGTGATCTGAAAGACCTCTACCTGACACCCTGGAGAGCTACTGCCAGTCTGAGTAGACAACTACGACATTGATGGACTGGTGGTCTGATTCAGTATAAGGCAGCTCTGAATATCCTAGCCTCTGACCTGGTTTTGCAAGACCAACTCTTCTCAGGGGGAAGACCTGCCTGACTTCTCTTTCCTCCCACAGGGCCACTTAGGACCAGGTCATCTTTTTGAGATTCATAGGTGAACAGAGAGTTGAATCCAGGACTCCCAACACTCTAGGCACCAAATCCCGCCAGTTCTGTTTAATTCATGTTGTCTGTATCGGAGCAGCTGGCCTGAAGAACTGATCAAGAGTCTACACTGCCATGTATGGCAGTATGGTTTTAAATTGTGTCTAATTGGGTTTTATATTATATATTGTATTATTATATTGTATTGTTTTATATTATTATGTAAGCCGCCCTGAGCTGGCCTTGCTGGGAGGGCGGGGTAAAAATCTAATTAAATAAATAAATGTTAATTGGCAACCAAATGGCTGCCAAGTTTCCGGTCGTTCACCCCTTGGGCAAAGCAGTCAGTGGCACATCGGACCAAGTGGGTTTTGGCTCCACGAAAGTTTCTGCTGTGATTTGCCTTGCAAACCTAATGAGGAGGGCTTTAAACTAAATCCTATGGGGGAGCGAGACAAAAAACCACAGAATGTCGGAGAACCAGGTTACGCACAGCTCTCATTGGCAGAAGCACTGTTTAACAGGATGCCTTTTAATCTGCACAGACAATCGGAAGCCCTGCTGGGTGCAAGCAGCACCTAGCCCTACCCGCTTTGAATAAAAATATGGGCACCAGGAAGGGTTGCGCCCACAGGCACCATGTTGGGAACCCCTGATCTAAAGGCCCTCCCTGGAACAAAATTAGAGGGAGCTCAGTGGCAGGAGTGAAAGGTGAGGATGCCCCCCCTTCTGGGAGACCTGCAGGTCATTGGATGCACGTCAGGATGCTGGAGGGGGGTGAACTCTGATCAGATCTGGCAGGACTGTTCTTGGGGTCTCACACTCAAAGATTAGTTAGGATAATAAATATGCACAGAGTATAATAAATATGCACATCGCTTCTAAAAGTAATCTGTTTCCCCAATTTTTATTTGTTTGTTTTAATTTAGAAATCAGTCAACTAAGTGACAAAGACATCCTTATTGTGCCGCTTAATCTGACCCACAGGAGTACCCATGAATCTGCTACAAGCACTGTCCTTAAGTATTTTGGAAGGGTGAGTCTTCCCTGACTCTTTTTGGTAGTATAACTCAGGTAGGTCAGCCCTTTGCTGGCCGTGCTTTGGACTAGGGCAGGAAACGGGTCCAATGCTAATGCTGCCTAATGTTACAGTAATGTGTCATCATTTCTGTGTGGAATAATCGGGCACGTTCTCAAAATGGGGGGGGGGGAACTGGCTTTGGATGAGGCTTAGAGTGGGTGGCAGGTCAGGCAGCGTGGCATCTCTGCAGCTCCTCACTGGCCCTGTGCCTGAAGCCAGGCACAGTAAAGTGATTCATGCTTCCGAATAACGCTGCCAGGGGGGAGGAGGAGGTTATTGCTATGTGGTAACATTGGGCAGAAGTAGCCGCAGCACTTAAGTATCTGAGTGTATCCATTGTACAGCCTGAGCAGAGAGGATTTTGATGTTCAGCATTAGTGCAACCCTTTAGGGTGCAGTTGTAAGCAGACCCATGAGCTTCGAAGCCCGTTAGAGGTCCCAGACTATCCTCAGTTTGCTCATGCCTAACCGGCCATACATGGCCCGATTCCTGCAAAAAGTAACTCCTGGGTTATACTTTTTTTATCTGTATAGATCAAATTCCCCTTGATGGTCCTTTCTGATGTACGATGCATGCAAAGAGTAAAGGTGGTTACTTTTCCCGGGTGCAGAAATAGCTCGTTGCAATGTTGAGCAATTTGCAGAAGATTCTTTGCGGCTTTCCCCCCCCACAGCGCACTGCTCTCCCGCCCCACCTTCCCCCTGTCAGCAAAAGATAAGACATAACCTTTATTCCTGTTTTTTCTTCTCCTCCTCCCTGATACTCAGGCCTGTAGCCAGAAATTTTTTATTGGGGGAGGCAAATGAGTACACTGGTGGCGAACACACCATTATTTGTTTATTTTATTACGGACGAGCTACGATGTGGTGCAAAGTCTCCACAAAGGATCATGCTGCGAAGAAGGTTAAGTGATAATCCATTTTGGTAGATTCAGGTGGGCATCCGTGTTGGTCTGAAGCAGCAGAACAAATACCTATGGAATACCTATATTATGGACGGGTAATTTCCATTTTTGTTTCTGTCTCTAATGGGCCCTTCCTGGCAACTAACCGCCCCCCCCCCCCAATATGTAATGGTTGAGGAAATTCTGTCTCACCGTATCTGAAGAAGTGTGCTTGCATACAGAAGGTTATACCTTGAATAAAACTTTGTTGGTTTTAAAGGTGCCACTGGACTCGAACTTGGTTCTGATAATCCATTTTGTTTAAAACCAAATGTCCCTATTTCCCAGTGGCCACCTACCTCATTGGGTAGTGGAGAGATGGAGGAGGAGAAAGGAGGGATCCCATCACCACACGTCCAGAGATGCCGAGAATCCAGGAGGCAGCTCCCATGTGGTGTGCAATCCATGGCAGGTGCCTTGCCCTCCCCCAGGGGCTGACTCCTGAGGAAGCCAGCTTGGGCTCCCCTTCCCTGCTCTCCTTGGCAAAAAAGGGCTCCAGCTGTGGTATGCAGGATCCCAGCCAGGCTTTGTCTCTCCATGTCACGGGCATGGATGAGGATGAGCTGACAGGGCCTGCAGAAACCACAGCTGGCCCCTCTGAAGCAGCAGAGGAGGATAGCTGGCAAGTGCCTGTAACAGCAGTCTTCACACCTGGCCCAGGTAAGAAGGAAGAACTGCAAGCTGAAAGTCCTCCTGACTCACCCCCACGTGTGACTCGTTTAAGGGAGTTACTTTGGCAAAACTTAGCAACCAGGAAAAGAGAGGCCAGGCTACAGGGGAGACGCTCGGCTAACCCAGAGTTCTAACAAGAGCCTGGCCAATCGTGTAGCTGGCTAATTGGTAGCAACATTTAACTGCACACTCTGGGCAGTAGTCTTCGTGGAAGCAACAAGTCAGTTTCATGTTGCTAGCATCCACTCTGGCTCAGCTCTTGTACCTAGATCTTCAGACCCCCTGGCTTTGGCTCTGTGTTCCTGGCTCCTAACCCCGGCTTGGCTTTGGACTATGTCTCTGGTTAGTGATTAGGACTTTGTGTTTCTGGCTCCTGACCCCGGCTTGGCTTTTTGTACTTTGCACTGTCTTCTTGGTTCCTGATCTTGGCCTGTTTTGGACTCCCTTTGACTGGCACCCCAGCTCATGACACTCCACGGTGGCTGTGCCTGCACCTGCCCCCCCGCTTCTTCCCCATGCTCACAAGGTTCCAGCTTGTTTTGTGCCTCGCTGGGAAGCAAATGCGGGGGGAAGGAGAGGAAAAAAGGCATGGCTGAGGGGGCTGGGCACATTCTGGAGGGAGCGTCGCCCTTGTGGGCCCCCTCGAGACTACAGGCCTGGTGGTGTTTTGCCTGTTCTAGTTGCAGAACTATTTGAAAGCATGGTTCTAGATGTTTGCAGTAGATAAGAAGTGGTATAGCTATGTATTGCAATTGCTGTGTTCCCTAATTCAGTTATTTAGTGCATAGCAGATGTAGAACTTTTTAATTTGCCCTCCTTTTCTTTTCCATGCCCCCCTTACTAACTTGGTACAACATATGGTCCAGTTCAGATATGACTTGAAACACTGCTATTTTTGAACTTGGGTTGGCTTGTAAATTTTTCTCCCTCTCCCAAAATACTAGAACTTGAGGGCATCCAATGATGCTGATGGGCAGTAGGTTCAGGACAGACAAAAGGAAATAGTATTTTACATAGCGAATGATTAAAATGTTGAATTCACTGCTGGAGGATGTTGTGATGGCCACAATGGGCAGTTTTAAAAGGGGATTAGATTCATGAAGGATAGGGCTATCAGTGGCTACTAGCCATGGTGGTTAAAAGGAACCTCCAGTGCCTTTGAATCCAAGAGTCAGGGGATGACCTCAGGATCTCTGTCCTGTGGTTGGCCCTCCAGAGTCACTGGTTGGCCACTGTGTGAGACAGGATGCTGGACTAGATGGACCACTGGTCTGATCCAGCAGGGCTCTTCTGATGATCTAATGAAGGCCTCAGCCTCTCTGCCCTGTTGCTGGCCCTCCAGAGGAACTGGCTGGCCCCTGTGTGAGGCAGGATGCTGGACTAGATGGACTGCTGGTCTAATCCAGCAGGGCTCTTCTTATGTTCTGATGAAGGCCTCAGCCTCTCTGCCCTGTTGTTGGCCCTCCAGAGGAACAGGTTGGCCCCTGTGTGAGACAGGATGCTAGACTAGATGGACCGCTGGTCTATTCCAGCAGGGCTCTTCTGATGTTCTAATGAAGGCCTGGGCCTCTAGGCCCTGTTGTTGGCCCTCCAGACGAACTGGTTAACCACTGTGTGAGACAGGATGCCGGACTGGATGGACCACTGGTCTGATCCAGCAGGGCTCTTCTGATGTTCTAATGAAGGCCTCGACTTCTCTGCCCTGTTGTTGGCCCTCCAGAGGAACTGGTTGACCACTGTGTGAGACAGGATGCCGGACTGGATGGACCACTGGTCTGATCCATCAGGGCTCTTCTGATGTTCTAATGAAGGCCTCGGCCTCTCTGCCCTGTTGTTGGCCCTCCAGAGTCACTGGTTGGTCACTGTGTGAGACAGGATGCCGGACTGGATGGACCACTGGTCTGATCCTCACTGTGTGAGACAGGATGCTGGACTGGATGGACCACTGGGCTGATCCAGCAGGGCTCTTCTGGTGTTCTAATGAAGGCCTCGGCCTCTCTGCCCTGTTGTTGGCCCTCCAGAGGAACTGGTTGACCACTGTGTGAGACAGGATGCTGGACTGGATGGACCACTGGGCTGATCCAGCAGGGCTCTTCTGGTGTTCTAATGAAGGCCTCGGCCTCTCTGCCCTGTTGTTGGCCCTCCAGAGGAACTGGTTGACCACTGTGTGAGACAGGATGCTGGACTGGATGGACCACTGGGCTGATCCAGCAGGGCTCTTCTGGTGTTCTAATGAAGGCCTCGGCCTCTCTGCCCTGTTGTTGGCCCTCCAGAGGAACTGGTTGACCACTGTGTGAGACAGGATGCTGGACTGGATGGACCACTGGGCTGATCCAGCAGGGCTCGTCTTATGTTCTTTTTTTTAAATTAAAAAACCACAATTTTATTAGGATATAACTTCAAATCAAACAATAACATTTTATCAATCATTTTATATCCTTTTCTACCCATATCCCCCCCCCTCATCTTATCCATAGAGATTTTTCAAGTCAAGCAACAGTTGTTGCGAGTTCTTCATTAGGAAGTAGAACATATCAGGTGTCACAAAAAGTAATGAAAATACGCAGTCGCATTCTGTGTAATAGGATTAGTGCAGCGGTGTAAATCTGTGCATGATTTGTACAGGGATTCTCACAACCGTTCCCCACTATCATTTCCATTTCTATAAAAGTATTCCCAATAAGTCCTTTTTAGTCCCATAAAAATCTTCATTTGCTGTTCCCTTTGCATTCCAGTAATTCAAGCGCCCTGCCTACCTCTCCCATAAACCTTATTCTAAAAATTTCATGTTCTTTTTAAACAAGAGCCATTTTGGGTTCCCCGCATTTGGCTCTAGTGGCCTCTGTGGCAAACTGGTGCGTTGGCATACTTTGTCATTTGATTTAGCTATTGAGACTGTGCTTAAATGGAGCGGTAAAAGCTTAATTCGTCCTCCGTCTCACCCCAGATTGACGTCCTGGTGAACAACGGTGGCCGAGGCCAGTTTTCGCTGTTTGTGGACACCAGCGTCGACGTCTACAACGCCATAATGAAGATCAACTACCTAGGCACCATCTCCTTAACAAAGCCTGTCCTGAATCACATGATTGAGAGGAAGCAAGGGAAGGTGGTCACCATAAGCAGTGCCCTGGGGATCATGGGAGCTCCCTTGGTCACTGGCTATTGTGCCAGCAAACATGCCCTCATGGTAAGTGGGTTTTTGTTCCCCAGTCTTCCGATTTCACGGTGTGCAGCAAGAAACTTCCAAACACAGGAAAGGGGTCTTCCATGTAAGGGGGAGGGGAGAGAAGAAAGAAACAAAAATGAGGACCTCTAAACAAAAAGGCAAGCAATAATGATATGAATAATTGCGTAAATGAAAAATGTATTCAGAGGGTAGCCATGCAGGAGAACAGCTGGATTCGAGTCCAGTAGCCGTTGTAGTATTTATTACTATGGTCAGCAAACAGTGTAGTTAAGCAATAAGCAATGAAGAATATTTCCATTATAGAATCAATTATGATCCCATAAACATCAATAGAACAAGAAAGGAAAAAAGATATTTTCAAATACTAAAAATCCTATATATAAAATTAGCACAGTTTAATAGAATACAACGGCATAACTACTTCTCCAGTGAAGAAGGTATAGTTTTTTGCTATTGAGCAGAATTAGGTTGTTGTTGTTCAGTCGCACAGTCGAGTCCGACTCTTTGCGACCCCATGGACCAGCTCCCGCCAGGCCTTCCGGTCTTCCGCCGTCCTCTGAAGTTTGCTCAGCTTCATGTTCGTTGCATCGATGACACTGTCTAATCATCTCATCCTTTGCCGTCCCCGTCTTCTTTGACCTTCAATCTTTCCCAGCATCAGGGTCTTCTCCAGTGAGGGCTCCCTTCTCATTTGGTGGCCAAAGTATTTGAGCTTCAGTTTCATTATCTGGCCTTCCAGGGAACAGTCAGGGTTGATTTCTTTGAGGATTGACTGATTTGTTCTTCTTGCAGTCCAAGGGACTCTCAAGAGTCTCCTCCAGCACCATAGTTCAAAAGAATCTATTCTTCAGCGCTCGGCCTTCCTTATAGTCCAACTCTCGCAGCCATACATGACTACTGGGAATACCATTGCTTTGACCATGTGGACTTTTGTTGGCAGGGTGATGTCTCTACTTTTTATCATGCTGTTTAGGTTTGCTTTCCTCCCAAGGAGCAGGCGTCTTTTAATTTAATGGCTGCAGTCACAGTCTGCGGTGATCTGGGATCCTAGGAAAGTGAAGTCTGTCACTACTTCCACGACTTCCCTTTCTATTTGCCAAGGAGTGTGTTGGCGTGGGAAACGTCCAGTAACGACAAGTACTAGGTTGCTGGTGCAGACTATCTATAGTGGATTTATTTACACAGAATATACACAGTTCATTTAGCACTCTCCAACTCCAATATCACCATACAATCCGGCAGAGTGCTCCGCAGCAAGGCATTCACAGAGTGAACATCTTCTAAAGTACTATACAGACTTATATACAGTGTCAGCACCAATCAGTGACCAGTGCTGACTCATGGTTGCATCATGCTGGCTGATGCAAGAGACATGCAATCTCTGCCTGGTAACAGGGTCATATGATACATTTAGCTGTCACCCAGATCAGCATGATCTTTACCACATCTTCTCATAGACTGTCATCTTGTCCCATACCTTACAGTATACTGACACGCCTCCCAAGATGACATCTATGACATATATAACATCTTTTTCAGCTTTTGGAATCTGTTTACATTTACACATTTAGTAAACATGTCAGCTACATTTACATCAGAATCACAGTGCTGTATCTCTATAAATTTATTGTTTACAGCCACCTTTACATTTTGATATCTGATTAGAATGTGCTTGCTCCTGGTTCTAATCCCTTGATTGTTTGCAAGTTGACTTGCTGCAGTACTGTCACACAGAACTTTAATTGGCAACACAGACAATATGTTGTAATCTTTTAATAGTTGATTAAACCATTCAAGTTGTATCACTATATCGTTTATTGCCGAGAATTCCGATTCGCATGAGCTGGTCGCTATGTGCGTTTGTTTGATGGATTTCCATCCTACCAATGCACCATGGACAAATATTGTGTACCCTGATGTTGACTTTGCATCCGGCCTGTCCCCCCAGCTGGCATCAGTGAAAGCATACAGACTCTCTTCCCTTGAGTCTACCTTTAACACTAGCTTCTCATGTGCAGTGCCCTTTAAGTATCTCAAAACACGCTTCGCTGCCACCCAGTCCTTCTGATAAGGACAGTTGCAGTGTTGGCTGAGCAAGTGAACAGCAACAGAAATGTCAGGCCTGGTACAACAGGATAGATACAATAATGAACCTACTAATGACTGGTACATTTCTTTGTGAGGGAATATATTTACATTGGGCTCCTTACAGTAGGAAGTAGTCATGGGTGTGTCAACTGCTTTGGCCTCACCCATACCAAACCTTTGGACTAAGTCCAATACCTTCCCTTCCTGACAGAGAGCAAAGTTACCTTCTTGATCTCTGGTAATTTGAATACCCAAATAATTTTTGTATCTCCCCCAAGTTCTTCATTTTGAACACTGCTTGCATTGTGTTAATGAACCATTGCAGCTGTTGTTGAGTACTGTAAACCACACATAAATCATCAACAAAACTGAGGACATACAAGGTACCATTTTCAACTTGTTTGCTATACAGGCAAGGATCAGAGATGCTCTGTGCAAACCCTTTGCTAATCAGTGCTTTGTTTAAACATAATTCCCATTCATGCCCACTTTGTTTAAGGCCGTACAAAGCTTTGTGTAGTCTCAAAACAGAAGTATTTTGACCAGTGCAGAACCCTGGAATCTGCTCCATATACAACTCCTCCTTGAGATCAGCATTTAGGTAAGCTGTCTCTATATCAAAGTGGTGAACCTTCATTTTATTTACAGATGCCATGGCTAGTGCCACCCTTATGGTCTCATTTCTGATAGTGGCTGCGAATGTGGCATCGTAATCTAAATGCTCAATCTGACTGAAACCGCGTGCCACGAGGCGAGCTTTATATTGCACCCCCC